CAAAGCCAGGTACTCAATGGGACCTCATTATTTCTAGAATGAAGTAAAACTTCCCAGCTCTCAAAATCCTCCACATTCTGGTCCTAGTCTCATTTCTCACTAAGTCCTCCTTCTCCTGTCTCCTCTCCCACCCCCAACTCCTGGTACTCTGGCAACATAAAATGGTTTCAGATTTCTGAAAATCATCGTGTATTTGACATCTTTGTACATTTTCTAATGCTGTTCTCCCCACTAGGGATGCTTTTCTTTCATTTGAATTGTTTAAATCCAACCCCAAACCAACTTCCAAGTCCAGGTCAACTCTGCCTCCACCATAAGAGAGAATCCTTTCCCCAGGTGTCAAATTTTCTTCCAACACTTTTGTATATCTCTCTTGAGATTCTCATCACTGCCTCCTTGTAATCTTAGTTACTCCACTCCTGTCAATGTCTTCTCTCTACAACTAGACTATACTTCTTGAGGGGAGGAGCTCCCATAGTTACTTTGGACCTATTATAGCATCAGCTTCGATGAAAGCTTAGTGAATGAATGAATGATGATGCATAGTCCAGAATAACAGTATAGTGACACCAACACAAACTGCATAGAGCAGGGGAGCAACCCTGAAAACCTAGTTAATTCTAAAGAAGGCACACACATCAGTGCAGTAAATGCCAAGCTTTGGCCAAGTAAGTTAGTTACTTTGAGGGCTACCAGAGAGTCTCTCCACTTAGAATATTTTCAAGAGTCTGGTCTAAGAGAAAAGTTTATGTAGCCCCATACCGTTAGCCAGAATCTTCATCTAACAATTTGTTAATGAGATAAATACTAACATCTCAGACACCTAAAACATACTGCAGAAAAACAAAGTGAAATAAATGATTTATGAAGCTTTTTGGCAAAATGACCAATCATTCCAGAGATAAACAGAGCATTCCTATGTCTATCATTATATCAAAGAAACCTTAATAAAAATGTAAAAACTGTAAATATAAAGTAGCACACACATCCCTCATTATCAGTCATCAAATCCTGCCAATTTTACTGTCTAAGTGACTCTCAACATTGACTGCCTTCTTGGTTCCCATAGTCACTGCCCCGGCTCAGGCTGACATCTCTCACCTGATTCACAATAGCTTTCTAAGGCTTCTCTCCAACATTTCCCTCTTCCTCACTCACATTTTCCTCTAAACCAATGCCAGAGAGATCTTACAAAGGCCACATCTCATTATGCTACTTCCCTTCTTAGGAGACTTTCCTTTGCCAGAAAGGCAAGTTCAAACTCCTTAGAGTGGCTCACCAGGTCTTTTACAACCGAATTTTAGCCTTCCTTCCAGTCTACCCCTTTCCATTCCCCACGAATCACCCAGAATTCTAATCGTGTGTCTTCCTGCTGGTCCCTCTGCCTAAAATGCTGCCCCTGCCTTTCTCTATGACCACTAGTCATCCTTCAGGGTCAAGCTCAAAAGTACCCATTTGGTTGTACATGCCCTCTTCCTCTCTTGATAAAATCACAGAACTACAACTAGAAAATACAGTGCCTACATAAGAGGTGACTTCCTTCAAGAACTAATGACTAAATGTTAATCCTACTGCCATAAGGCTTAGAAGACATAGCCCATTTCTGCCCTCTTCTAAAAGTCCTCACATAATAATTTTCAGCACTTAGGAATGAGTGCTTGCTAATTTTACCTACAGCTAGTTAGCAGAAAATAGAAAAACTGCTTTCCGAGAAACCTGTGATAATTATACATTTAACTCTTTTAATTTCAGAAACACCTTGGCAAAAGCACAGAGTAAAGTGTTTCTCTAATGGCATGCATTTGTAATCACAGCATGAACCAGCTTAAGACAATATTAGAAATGCCTGCTCAGAAAGTTCTAATCCCCTTCAATTTGTAACAAGATGTACTAGCAACAAAGTCTTTATTCTATCAGATTTATGTCTTTCCCTATGCAGTGGCTCTTCAAATTAGCTTTTTCTTTGGCACATATGTGGCATTCTAGAACTGGAAAAGCAATACAGTTTAGTAAAATGAATGACTCAATAGGAAGCTTGGATTCTACTCAAATTTTATCACTGTCTGCATAACTAACTTTAGCCTGGGCATGGTAGATGAGGTCGATGAAGCATTTTAAAATCATAAAAGAAAGGAAATCTGTAACTCCAGGGTTTGGTCATCATTGTTAAAACAAGAAGAGGAAACCTGCAGACCTAGGTTTACATTAAGTAAACTGCAATTTCCTCTGTCCTGTGTTGTAACTGGGTTTCCATGCACAAGAGCAGGCTTCCAAGCTATTGAAAAGAAAAGGCGGGAAAACGAAACTGCTGCACCAGTCTGGTGGACACTGTGAGCTCAAAGGGTCCGCAAAGACATAAACACACCAAATGCTCAAGACACACAAGACCAAAATGAACCATCAAGTGGTTTTTATTCCTAGTAAATTATTGTCAAATGTGTAAGCACCTAGTACCAAATAACTCATTTAGTGGAGTACTACATCAATGTCAGTCTTGAGAGTTTACTGGTTCACCTGGTGTCATCTTGCAGAAGGGAGAGCACAGAATGGCTTAGCTTATGTTTATCATTAAGAAAGAGAGATCCTTAATAGTCGCCTGTCCTTACTCGAAGCTTCACAGGAGAGTCTATGTAGAAAAAGTCCTAATACCAATGTTTGTTTATGCGCTATCTTTCCTCTCAGAAGCACAAATATTTCGGGGCCATCGATGCATCATCACATGACATTTATGTAAGAAGTCAAAAATCTTCGTGTTCTATTTTATACATGAAATGATGGATTGAAGGTAATAGCAAATAATCATAAGCAAATTTGCAAATCCTCAACCACTAAATTTCTGTCTCATGTTAAAAGTCTTTATAATTATCAGTACCAATTCAGATTTCCATAGTTACATATTTGTATGATATTATAATGACTGGCTGTAACTATTTATAATATCCTAGATTCAACTAATTATAAGACAGACAGACAACACAGGTGTCTTTTTTTTTTTTTTTTTTTAGTTGGAGTCTCACTCTTTCACCTAGGTTGGAGGGCAGTGGCACGCTCCGGGTCACCCAGCCCTGCTGGGCTCAGGCGATCCTTCTGCCACCATGCCCAGACTAGGTGTCTTTTTAATAAGCACAAAATTGTCTGTGGGCTAAAGCTGATGGTTTCTAACTTTGGTGAAGTGATGCGCTACTGTTTGATTTTGAAAGATCTTGCTGTATCTCAAGTTGTTATTGGTTTTCTGCATCTAATCTGCAATCAATTGTAAGATACAACATTCACTTTAAGAACCACTGGACACTGGAGGCTGAGCATGGTGGCTCTAGCCTTTAATCCTAGCACTTTGGGAAGCCAAGGTGAGGGGATTGATTGCCTGAGCCCACAGGTTCGAGACCAGCCTGGGCAACTTGGCGAGACCTCATCTCTACAATAAATCAAAAATCAGTGGTAGTACACGCCTGTAGTTCTGGTTACTTGAAAGGCTGAGGTGGAAGGATTGCCAGAGCCCAGCAGGTGAACGCTGGGATGGCCATGAGCGTGCTGCTGCACTCCAGCTTGGATGACAAAGTGAGACTCCAACTCAAAAAAAAAAAAGAACCACTGGGAAAGAAAAATGCTCACAATTAAACTATGACATGTTTTCATGTCATCAATTATTAAGACTCGGGGGGAACTATATATCTTGAAATCGATAAAACTATGGCATATGAAAATGATTATTTTCCTAATTAAAATGAATCAAAATAAATATCTTTTTGAGAAATTGAAGCTGCACACTAGGATATTTCAAATATCCTAAGGACACAGCAGAGGTTAGCAGTTAGTCTATGATACAGTCCACCTTCAGGGTGCTTTAAACAACTTGAACAAACTGCTACACTTCTCAACAGTACCTAGCAAAGTGGAGGCACCTGAGACCTCCATCCACACTTAAAATCAATAGTCACCCCTGAAATTCAATCACCATTCAATCACAAGGCTTTGAAACTGCCTAATTATCCTCCCCCTTGAGACTCCAACTGTTCCAATTCGATGTCTCGCTGCTAGAAATGTGCCGTGCTATTAAACTAAACAGCCAGCCAGCCCTGAACACCTCACCTCCTCTCCTCCTCAGTAAAACCCTGCCATTTGTATTGACAGACTTGGAGCAGAAAAAGCATGAAACAACTTTTTCCCCTTGGAAAGGGTTGAAAATAACATTCCAAGGAAAAATTAAAGAGAAAGACATGTTTATAAGCACAGAGGAATTTTCCCCTTCTTGAGCAACCCTGAACAGTGCAGCACTGAGAGTGAAGTCGTATAAGCAACAACAAAAACTCAACAGATGACAATGTGTGGCAGAAGAAAGTGGTGCCATTGTCTTCCAGCATGACGGCAGCATTCTCACTTCTAAGGCTTAATCTGAATAACTGCTTTCAGGAGGACCAGGCAGAACGTCCCTTTCCTCCAGTGTTAACTGCATCCAAACAATAGAACTCTTGTTGGAACACAAGCCTTCATAAGATACTGGGAAAACTCCCTTTTGACCCTCCCACTTGATGAGAGCGTCTATAATCCGTTCTTCTGTTCTTATCTATTTCTAGCGATTTAGGATACATTCACTTGGCAACTAGATCCATCTCTGTACTAAACATAAAAGTGCATCAAAATATTCTTTCAAAATTCATATTCTCCAGATTATCTGATGGGGCAAAATTTCCAAAGTCAAGCTTGAAAGCCATTAAACCAGGATCATAAACAGACATGCATTCATATTCACTTAAATATATTCTCATATTTCTATGTGATTTACTTTTGAGAAGAGCTCTCTTGTAAATCCAGTGTCACAAGCTGCTTGCTTAGAGCGATGAGCAGCTGTCATATTTACTAAGGAGGATGCTCTTGGGGAAAATAAAACCCCCAAACCTACAGAATTAAAAATAAAATATTCTTTCCTTCAAGCATACAACCAGGCAGACACATTTTCCATCCCTTCAAACCTGCATCCCTGAGAGGCAAAAAAGACTTACGTGTTCAGACTTCTCCTGTTCTTTTTTGTCCGACTGCAAAAACTGATAGTTTTCTCTCGCCAGCTTCTGGACCAGTTCAATTCGTCCGATATCATCTCTCTCCTGAAGCTTGCACATCACCCCTGCCTTAAGAGTTGGAGAAAAAGCGAAGATATACTTAAATCCACAGTCCCAGGACATGACACCACTGTGAAGTTCAACTTAGAATAAGCTCATCTTTTCCATTGCCTGAATTAAATCATGGTCTTGGTAGAATATTTTGCCTTTCCAAAATTGAAATTATATTATTTTAATCTAGGAGGGCCATGCCAGAAGACTCAGAGTTGAGACAGCTTATTAGCCTACTTAAAAGGGTGAAGGGCACAGCAAACTAAATCATTTGCTCCTAAGTGTGCGCCTGATATGCCCCTGTTTGTTTGTTCCTGACAGCCTGTTTCCTGTTACATAAGCAGAGCCTAGCAAGAGGTTAAAAACTCATGGGAAAGTTAGCCAGGAACCACGCTGGCAAAAGGGTGAAGTGATACCGAGCCCTAAAAATAACAGTATACAACCTCCCAATTCTCTTGCTCCACCAGATCATTCCATATACAAATATACACAGTTAGCAAGAAGATCACAAGATAATTTTTTTTTTCACAACTGGAAAATTACTATGGGGCAGACGTTAGCAAAATACCCCAATATTGCATGAAAGATGGTGAAATATTTTACTAAAAGAAATTAGGAAAAAAAAAAAAAGCTTAAAACTTCATTCATCAGGGTTTGGAAATGATCCAGAAAACATCATATTTTTTTATTAGGTTAAAGTATTTAAATAATAATGAGAAGGGAGGTGAATTTAGAATTTAAAAACTGTTCATTCTAACACAAAAATTAATTAGGCACTGTTTCTGTTCAAATTCTTTCCAAAATGGTTCATACTGACATACCAAGACATGATCTAATAAAGAAATCTGAAGTTATACTTGGCAGGAGCAGTCAAAACTATGGAATCTTTGCTTTATCCAACACAAGCTACAGGATTTGAATATACTTAATAACATGACCAAATATGGGGGACGGGGCTAACAGGGGATCCATACTTCATGGCCTTAACCATTTATGCCAAAGATACCCATGTTGTTGAGTGGGCATCAGAGAAATGAAACCAACCATGTACAACAGTGACTAAATCTTTATTCCCAAGGGCAGTGGCATCTCTTGATCTAGTAATTTGTCCAACGAGGAAGGAAACAAACAAAAAATACCTTCAAGTGGCGCAAATCATAGACTCCCAGAGGACAGCAAGTGGAACTCCTCCACCAAGTCAGAAATTTATTTTTACAACATCCCTTACAAGTAGTTTTCCAGTTCCTTTTTACAGTTTCCTTGGACAGGGACTGCAGTTTATCTTAAGACAGTCTGTGCTCTGTTGCGTAGCCAGGATTGTTGGAAAGTCCCTTAACAAACTGGACAATACTCTGAAATCACTTACCGTCAACCCAGGACTAGTTTTGCATTTTAAAGTCAGGGTAACTAGAGCTATTCTTTACCAATATGAAAGTCTTTCAAATATGTAAATATTTATTATACTCTCCTTTTAGTTTTCTCCAGATATAAATCCCTAGTTCCTTAAATTATTATTTGTTTATTCATTCACTCAACAGATTTCATTTGAGTAACAATCTATTATAGGTTTTGGGCGTATATTAGTGAACAGCAACAACAAAGTCCCTCCTGTCGTGAAGCTTACATTCAACAGAGAATGCAGATTATATAACATACTGGTGTCAAATACCAGGTAGTAACATATGACAGGAAGGAAAATAAAGCTGGTAAGGGGACAGAAAGCATCATTAAGGTTAAAATGTCAGGGAAGGGTTTTCTGAAAACTAAAAGGACATTTGAATGGAGACCTGAAGGAAAGGGGAAGGAGGTGACCTGGACAGCCAGAAGGAAGTGTGCTTCAGGTGGGGGGAATGGCAAGTGCAAGGGCCCTGAGGCTCAGCTGTGTCCAGGATGGTCAAGGATGAATAAGAGAACAACATGGCTAGGAAAGAGTAGATGAGGGGGAGACCAGGGGGACTAGTCAGACAGAGGATACAGAGTCCCATCACATAGTTTCCTTACTGATTGTAGGGGAGTTTGGATTCCTTTTTGAATGAGATAGAAATCATTTGGAAGGTTTTGAACAGAGGCTTGGCATAATATGATTTACATTTCAGCAGGATGACTGTGTGTCCTTGGTTGGATGGGGGAGGTAGTTGAAGCTAGAAGACCAGTTAGGAGACTGGTTTTCACACAAGAGATGGTTCATATCTTGCAGCAGAGGTGGAGACGGTAAGAAGTGTTTCTAACCGCTGGATATATTTCAAAAGTAGGGACAGCAGGTTTTGCTGTTTGAGAGTCTCCAAAACATTTGGCCTGAGCAACTAGAAGGATGGAGTTGTCATTTACTAAGCTTGGAAAGACTG